AACGTTATCGATTATTTGACTGAATTTAAAAATTTTAAAATAGAACTACGTTATTCTTGAATATTCTTTGTGATAATTATATGGATAACTGTAAAAACTTTTTATTTTGGCTGACATTGATGATGGAAACCATTTTTTAAACCCAGTAAACGAGAATAGATTAAAATAGATTAAAATTTTAATCTCTATTTGATTCATCCGAATGCGTATTTTAAATATCACTCATGGTCCATTTTGACTTTTTAAAAATTTAATTGAATGGGAAAACTTTTTTCAGATTTAATTAAATTGAAAAACTACATTTCCTATTCAGAATTTTGAATTGAATAGTATTCACAATGCACTTAAAAACTGAATTTTTTTTAGATTAAAAAGCGTCGAAATGTGTTCCCTGCAATTCCTACAAATGAATAAAAATGCATTTGGGAAAAAGATTCATTTCAATATTCGCGAATACATATTTTAAAAATTCTGAATCTATTTCAAAATCTATCAAACTATTATTCTCGTTTATTGGGAATGCATTTTAAATTACATATTCTTAATTTTATGATTTTCTTCAGTTTGTTTCAGATTTTCGAAGCCCAAGTAAAACACATAAATCATAATAATATAATATCGACATCATCATGATCTTATTATTTATTAGTCACTTAAAATTTATTTTTAAGTATCAAATGACATCATGGTGATAATCCCATAATATTATTATAACTCTGTTCTCTATCTGAGAAGAATCTCATTTATTATGTAATTAAATTTATAAATAAATATATAAGAATATATAAATAATAAAATGTATATATATATATATATCTGTTAGAATGTAAATGCATAGAGAAAATAGTAAGTATATAAAGTATACAAAAAATATATAAAGGCATTTATGTTGCAGTATTCCAGACTACCATTTTATCATGTGTTAGTTCAAGTTCAAGCACGTGAGATGTCCTTTCTCTTACGCATAGTTATCGAGGCAGCGGAACAGTTACTTAACATCTCGCGGATATAATCAGTCAGTTCGTAAACTCCTCCAATGTAATCAGTAAGACAAACGAATCCCCCATACATTGCAATTACACGCGTGGCGCGCGCGCGTGTGGCGGAATTGCCGGTTGAAAAATTCGCGTGGCCGCGCCAGCAGCAACGGTAGTCGTAGTCAAGTAGAGCGTGTTCGATGGTGTTTCCAATGTGGAAAGGCGATACGATCATTGAAGCTCGAATTGCCGTTATTTATGACGGGAAAATTTTACATGCATCTCGTGAAAAGTTGCATCTATGGAGGGTTGATTTGCGGAATCCACAAAATTAATTTCTGTCATCTGTCAATCAATAATATGCAACTGCTTCTTGAACTGCTACGAGAACATCGCGATTGTGTGATAATATGTCAAATGTAATGAAAATATAGCTGTAAATTCAAAGATATTTTTGTCAATACAGAATAATAAAAAATATTTTTTTTAATGCCACATGTTGAAGTAGCATATATTAATTGCATGCGATATGAGTTATAAGAACACACTATATAATTGACTAAAAATGTATATGAGGTAAGATATAACTGTATAATTATGAGAAGTATATAATACGGGATATATTAAGACAAACAAAAATAATTTTAATTCCACTGTCACATTTTTATTACCAACAAGCTTTCCTAAAACACGAAATTTTAATTAAACACTTTATTTTGCATTCTCACATTCGGATGATACTACTTTCATGACTTTCACGTTAATTTCATGAACTCGTAAAGACACATAAACGTTCAAGCATGTTAAGAAACCAAGCGTTCTTGGAGATTCCGGTTGAAAGGTCGTTTTTAACTGGGATAATGATACCACCGATCACGATAACGAAAATCTTATCTGTAGCAATTTGTTTCCTTCCACGTACCTTTAAAGCCAATGGAAAATCTGCGGACTATACTACCTATGTTCAACTGCGAACGAACTATGCGCGTTTCCTCAGGAGCCCATGCACCTGACACGACGAAAGTTGTGGCGTGACTGGCATCAGACGCAGCTCGTCGAACGGTACTTACCTACCTGAGCAACTCCCCTGGCTTCGGAGCATAGAAGCCGGTAATACAATGCACCGCCAGCACGCTTTCGACTCGATGCAGATCCCTGCATCACAACCGGAATATTATCTTACATGAATTCTCATGTCTCCGGTCCAAAAATTTTAAAACATTCTCGAGCCCGCATTAGGATTTTCGTTTGATGACGTGGCATACACTAAGCGTTTAATCTTGAAATCACTGCAATATTAATAATTTTCTGGAATAAATTAGCGTAATTTTCTAGTAATAAGTAAGTTAAAAACTAAATGCAAATAATATTTTGCTGCATTTATTTTTGTTGTATTTATTTTTATACGGAATTATTTTTCTTTTGACAATTGAACATATGAATCTAATTGTAAATATGTTCAACAATGAAAATTTAAACAAATAAATTTTGCGTATGAATAATAATATATTGAAATAGATAAATTTGCTTCGTAAATATTTTACCTAATGCTGTAAGATTATTGCAGAATTTATAAATTTTTTATGAATTCTTATTATTTTCTTACTATTTCATAATTTTTTATATTAATTAGGAATATGACAATTGTATTCATTACACGCAGTTTTTAGTAATTACTGTTATAAAAAATGTTAATAATAACTGCTTATTAGATTCTTGTGTGACGGCTGATAATACAATACAGTCTATTAACATTAAATGACTTTGGATAAACATCTGATGCAGACAGTTTCTATCTGATACAGACATTATAGCTTTGCAATACGCTGTGAATGATCTAATCAACGATATTCAACCAATAATGCCAATTGCAATGAATGAACGTTTGGAAATGCGGTAGTGAAAATTACCGTTATTGAGATCGGGTTAGCTTTGCCAGTTTTTATTCAGTTCAAGGTATGTAAATGATAGCTATGCAATGTATTTCCTTTCTGGAATTCAATGAAATGTTTTCCAATCCAGATAAAGAGGAATTCGGTACCGAAATAAAAATATAGAATTCTTATCATGGAGATAAAGATATTTCACTTCGCATAAAATCGTTAGTACAGATTCGAATAACTATTTCAAGAAACAGCAGCTTTGTATATTCACAATTAGAAAAAAAGAAGTGTTTTTTAAATGATTGTAACTGTATATACATAGGTGACAACTACAAATTTTTTATATTATGTAGAAATTAATATGTACGTAGACTAACATTCACATTTTGAATATATATGCATTGAATAAACTATTTTAACTGAATTTGAATCGAAAAAGTTATTAGTTAAAATAATTTATTCAATTATGTATATTAATTCATAGATATATAGATACATAAAATTTATTTATTAATCAAATATTATACAAATTTCTATTACTATGTGACTTTTTGGAACATGATAAAACCGGCTTTGCTACATATTTTGTGCTACGCACAAAAGCTTCTTTCGACGGACAGTCGATGACCCCGCGAAGAATTAGGGAACGTGTATCGGCGACGAAAGTACATCGGCCTCTTCGATTCTGGATACCAAGGTCATCTCTGTGTACTGCGGTATAACGTAAAATATAGCGATTCGCGATGATAGCGAGAAGGATGTTCAACCGGTTATGAGCTGTGACTTGTCGCCAATTTTTGAGTAATCGACGATTATAGTTCGTTGATATTCCTGTTCATTCCTCTCGAGAACTAAACCTTCAATATTAGAACATATTCAAATTTATGACATCTTCAACAATAACATAATGAGATTTTTTAAAACTATGAAAGCAATCTTGCAACTAATGTCTCTTTCAATAAAATAAAAATATAATATATAATAGAATAGCGCGGTACTTTATTAATATAATAAAATTTTGTACAATATAGAAATAAACTTTAATATTAAAGCACCAAAGTTATCAAGCTTTATATGCTATTACTCTGTGTATATGCCCTTCATTATAAAGAAAAATAAAATAAATTACATCGCAAAATAAATTATATCGCAGTAAATATCTCGTAATTTTTCAATATTCTTATTTTTACTTTAAAGAATAGTATATGATACAGATTTGCGATTTATAAATAAGAAATCAGAGAGGCATTTCTCTAAAACGTTGACATACGTTATACGTTATAGTGATATATATATTTATGTGTATTTTTTTATTATTTTGAGAAACAGAAGATGTAAAGATTTATGCAAATATTTTTATAAGAGAAAAAAGACCTGCGATATAATATCCGTGTGCCGCTTTATCACGTATCTCAAGGTAGTGGTTTTGTAAATTACGACATTTGTAGCGTGAGATATTTTTCAAGAAAAGATCTCTTTGTTACATTTTATGAATATCTCGCGAACGCGACTGACAAAAGACTGAAGATCGCACGCAAATAAGAGATGCAATACGGCATTTTTATTAATATAATACAATTTTATATAATAGAGATCAAATTTATCTCTATTATTCTATATATTCTTGGTTAAAGAAAAATTAATTGTACATCGCAGTAAAGATGTCGCAATTTTTTAATATTTTAGTTTTACTTTGAAGTATAATATATGGTATAGATTCTCGGTCTATAAATAAATAGAGAGGAAATTATACTTTTCCCGTAACATTGACATACGGATATATAATATTTACGTGTATTTTTTTATAAGAGGCAGAAGATTTTAAGATTAAAATATTTTTACAATAAAAGAAGAAACCTGCGATAAATATCTGAGTTATTTCATTGCATATCTCAAAGTAGTTTTGTAAATTGCGACATTTATAGCGTAAAACTTTTTTTCAAGAAAAGATCTTTTTATTACATTCCGCGGTATCTCGCGAAAAGTCAACGCGGCTGGAGATGGTCGCACGTGAATAAAAGATGCAATACGGTGATGTCTTCGAAAAAATTACGAATACTTCTTCGTATCTCCTCAATATTGTTGCATACTTGAGACAGTAGTCCTCGGATTCGGAATGCTCTTCCATAGAGATATTACCATGACATTATCGGTGCACAGATTTGCTCTCAGTTGGGTCGGGATCTGGCCTGTGAGAGAGAAAAACATCTTCATGGATCTCAGATGGATTATCGCCGTATTTTTTGAAGCAAGTACTGTTAAATCAATCATTGATTATGTATAACATTCCTTTCCAAATTTTAGTAAGATATTAATATTATTTTGATATTATAATTAATATTTAAATATTTTAACGGGACGCTTCAACTAATTTCAGTAAACAAAATATAGTTTAAGTAACATTAAATAAAATAGATTAAGATGTCTTTTAGAGCTGCCGCACTTTCTGTAACCGTGAAACGTACCGTAAGAATTAGCCAATCACTGCGCAGTGCAGAATTGTCAAAAACTTTCAACCTTGAATGATTAATATTTATGATATGTTTTACTATTATGGAAAGTGTGTGGGCCTCCTAAACATTAATAATATAAAAAGAGAAAGAAAGGCATTTTCGATTAAAGCAGATCTTGATGTTTATAGTAATATTTATATGTATAAATATGCAAAAAAAATTATCAATTCTATAGACAACTTTTGATTTGGCGAATTTGAAATGCAATCATAAACTGAAATAATAATTTCACAATTAAATTAACTGATTGTTGATTTAATAATAATGCTACTAGCATCATATCTGTATTTTATACATGAATATTATTAACGTGAGCAAAATCCGTTTTGACTGAAAATGGCTTTTTTTTTCTTATTTTATAATTTCAATAGATTTTACTCGTATGTCAATTTGCTATATTTATATCTCATAAAGCATTTTTCTATTTACACTGTCAAAGTTTCTAAAAAATGCGATACTTTCTTCAGATATTAAAAATCTTGTATAATTTTTATGTTAAATATAGTTATTTTCTGAATTATATTTATACTGTAAAATACTGAAATTTATATATTTTTAATTGTCAATGAAATCATAGTTAAAATGTTAATAAAAATATATAGTAAATTTCATCAATCTGTATTTATACATTTTCTTCAATGCGGAAATTAATTTTATATTCCTATTTTATGATCTTAAAAATATCGTCCTAAAAATAAAACTAATTTTATCACTTGTTACTATTTTTTGGTATGCTAATTTCACACACACACACATACACACACACACACACACACCCGCGCGCGCGCACAAAGAAAGTATCTTAATAATTCGCAATCATGTTAATATACATATATGTATGAATAATATAAATTCTATAATAATAAAACGTTGGCACATCAAGAATGGACCAAGACATGGAGAAAACCCGCGAAGCACAGATTAGTAATATAAATTCTATTATGCATATAATATGAACAACATAAATAATTAAATTTCTTTTTTAATAATTATTGGACAATATGTATGACAAGTTTTTATTTTCTAGGTAGTTCCAATGTCCGTTTATTTTACCGAAATCTATCTGCATTGTGATAGCAAAAAATCTCTTGACTCGATAACAACTGGTGCCGCTGGCGCATTAGCCCTCACAAGACTGATCACACCTCGTATCCATCGAGAAGAATTACTCGAGATAATCACCTCCATGATGGACGATTGGGCCATGCAGAAAGATAAAAAAGTTCGTTGGATCATGGAGAAATATGCGACAATGTCGACGCGAGTGACGATGCTTACTTTCATTCTTGTGGGTATCATAATAGGTGGTTACGCCGTTATGGCGATATCAGCGATCACAACGAAAACAGGACAACTTGACAATAATAGAAGTCAGTCTTGCGTATTTCGAACTGCAACGCTGCAACAGGCGTTTATGGTGGTTCAAGCGATACAAATGTTCATCACTGGTATAGTAACCTTTGGTACTACCAGTTTCTTTTTTGGACAGGTCATGCATCTGTGTTCCCAATTTGATGCGTTGTGTATCAAACTATCGGAATTCCGAATTACCGAAGCACGTCGCGCGATAGCCGAAGCAATCCAAAGGCATTGTCAACTTATTCGGTTGGCCGAATGTATGGAGGAGTCATTCAATGCGAACGTTTTGTTGTACTTGTTCGTTACTAGCACTCTTATGTGTATAGATGGTAATATGCTTTGAAATATGAAATTGTTAAATTTGAAGACTTCTTGTTAACTTATGATTACAAGATTAATTTTTAATTTAAGTTGTTGTTTTCTTGTTGTTGGATTGCTAGCTGGATTAAAATCTTGCCACCGTATTGGTTATGATGCTGATAATGTCAGCATCGCAGTAACAAGATTTTAATCCAGCTAGCAATCCAGCAGGAAAATAAGCATCTTGTGCCACCGGCTTTAGATTATAAGATATTACATATATTATATATAGTACATAAAAGTAGTAAATATATAGCATATAAAAGTAAATTTTTGAATAGAATAACAAATTAATTAATCATAAAGAATTTAATCAAATTATTTAGCTTGTTTATGGCAAACAATAAATTTAATAAGTATATACACAAACGTATATACACGTACGTACATAAAATTTTTCACGTGTTTTAAGCATAAATTGACTGTATATTAAATTTATAAATTCTTGAAGACAATGAATTAATTATTTCATAAAAAGAGCATACAATGTAACCTTTCTTAAGCTTATTTCAATCTTTTTTAACTCTTGGAAGCATATATTTTTTTACATAAAATTTTCTTGAACATTGATATACAGGGAGTTTTACAAAGTCGCTATTTACTAGTACGAAGACAAGCTCAAAAAATTTTTAATTTCAAAATGGCGAACCTGATATTACGAAGTAAAAATATTTAAGCCAGTCATTTGAAATCGGATATTCAAGCATTTTTAAGCTTGTTGATAACAAATATAAAGCAAAAATTGAAAAATAAAAAGTAATAGATTTAATATAAAGGACATAAAAATTGAAAAAAAATTGGCTGATTTGAATAAAACGGAAGTATTTTATAGTTTTAAATTTGACAATTTTTTGTTTTAGAAATTAGCGGATTTAAAATCTATGAGTGTTCATGTACTTTTATGCAAATTAATCTATTTTTTGCAATATAAATCCGCTAGATTAAATACTCCATTAAAAATTTTTTAAGTTTTCTTTTATATTCAAAATCAGCGAACTAAAAGAACTCTGATTACCAAATTTAGTACAAATATAATACTATATGTTTTAATACTTTAATATTTAAATTTTTAATAAACTTTACTCAATTTACTTTAATAAACTTTATTCAACTTCGAGACTTATTTAAATTATTCTTATAGTAGAACTTTAACATTTTTCATGTATTCAAAAAAATTTTTATATTTATAAATTTTAATATTTTTATTATCAAACCGCTGACACACAACCCACCTCACAAATGATCGACATCACGAATGACGAGAGTTAATTGAATGACCTGCTTGTGTATCCTTCCTTTCAGTTTTATCTTCGCGATTTTGTGTAAGTTAGGCGTCCTTGCCGTATTGGCACGTGATCGTCTGCACTTTCGCAATTACAGTTAAGTTGCTGCGATCGATTTTTACCGATCGCACAACCGGGTCATGTCCTTGTTACTTATGTTTACATTTTATTGTAATATGTGTCTCGAGGACATATTTCTATATTTATTGATTATTGGTATATTTCTTAATCTGATCCTTTCTTAATATTATTAATTTCTTATCCTATCTGTTTTTATTTTTAATCGTTTGTGCAACTGCATTTATGATAATAAAATGATTTTGTTCCGTCATTTTGTATTTAAAAAATTTGAAAATTTTGACTTCGAAATCAAAATCAGCCACTCCAAAAACTTCCAGATATCAATTAATATATATTAAATCATATTCTTGAAGCTTTCACGGGTGCTTTTTATATAAAGATTATGCGTTTCGCGCATTATGGTTTTCTCTAGATCTATTCTTGAAATGCTAATCCTTCATCAGGGCGAGGAGTAGCCTGATACTTATTAGGCAGCTTGATACTTAAGTATTAGACTGCTCCTCGTGAAGTGGACAAGATTCACGAAAGGCATTTCAAGAAAGGATTTGGCTATAGAGAAAACCCGCGAAACGCATAATTTTTATATATATTGAATCAATCGTTTGAATTTCGAAATTTTTACTTCAAATTTGGAATCAGAATGTTATTACCACAGACTTCTATAAATAGACTACCAACTTCGTCTCCATCTTTGAAGATAGCGCTGCCCTACTGAAAAAAATCACGTCACATAGTTGCATAATGAAATTATGTAATTAAAATATGTAAATCATGTAACGAATTGTTCTAAATCAGTGCGTGATTTTAAAATTACGTATTTTGAAAAGTCACATATAATATGTTCTTTTTTTCTTCAATTTTTATCATTCAATTCTTTAAAATTCAATAACTATAAAATTTCATGACGGATGAAATTATTTGTAATATCATGTGATTTTTTAAATTATATAATTTAAAAAAATCACGTGCTGATTTGGAACAATCCGTTACGTGATTTACATGATTTAATTACATGATTTCATCATGTAACGTTGTGACATGATTTTTTTCAGTAGGGTGGGCAGTGACATATTTCAGTTCTCTCACTCACACATGTATAAATTACATGAATAAATTCACATGATTCTCATAGACAGGATGCATACATACGTATATGAGAAGTAAAACAAGGACAGCTCGAAATCAGATTCATCTCTTTCTAATATATTGAGTCAGCAGTCTATTTATATAAGTCTATGATTATTAGCATCGACAATTGAGAGATATAACTTTTCATTTGCTCGATTAACTTTTTTGATTTAATTTGAATATCAAAAGACTAATATTTGAATATAAGAAATCTATAAATTATTACTGTTGCATATTACTAAGTACGAAATTGCAAAGAAATTCAAGTAAAAAAAATATTTATTTTTTTAATTCACGAAAGATGTAACATGTAAATATATTTATATATTTTAAAGGATAAAAAACACTTTTAAATTTTAATTTACAATGATATTTTAACATAGCCAAAACATATGTGCAGCTACTCGTATTATAATCATAATCTTTATAATACGATAAAATATTGAATCTTGTATTATCTATTCCAAAAACTACAAGTTTCTAATGTTTCTAGGATACATATTAATTGCATCGTTATCCGTTGGCAATTTATCTCTGATTATACATAGTACCAGCGTCTTACTCCTTATGCTGATTCAATTGTCATTTTACACGTTTGCTGGTGATTACTTGGAGATGAAGAGCACTGCATTGTGTTATGCCACTTATGACTGTGATTGGTACGAGCTACCGGCTAGTATAGCCAAGGATTTTCATATTATTCTAATGCGAGCCAGCATTCCTCATCAACTGACGGCCGGAAAATTTGTGGTCATGAATATGATGACGTTCAAAGATATCTTAAAGTCCACGGCGTCGTATCTTTCAGTTTTGCGTATTATGCTAGATGGATAAATAATATATATATAAATTATCAGTTGTTGAAGTTGCGCAATATTGTCGACTACATTTCCCGCTTTCCATCGCAAGTTAAGTTTACATAAAATTTATGAATAAAAAATTAGGAAGCAAATTCTAGTTTCTTCGGAACATTAACACACATATTTTTACGTGTATTGTTCATGAGAAATAGAAGATTTCAAGAGTTAAATATTTTTACTAGTTAGATTAGACCTATAATATAATATCTGTATACTGTTTCATACATACATCAAGGTAGCGGTTTTGTAATTTGTGACATTTGTAGCGTGAGACATTTTTCAAGAAAAGATCTCTTTGTTACGTTCCGCGGCGTCTCGCGAAAAGTCAACGGCTGGAAGCGGTCGCACGCGAATAAAAGATGCAATACGGTGATGTCTTCGAAAAAAATTATGAATATACTTCCTCGTGCTTTGCCTTAATATAACAATCACATACTTGAAGTTTTTCATCATAGAAGTTTTTGGATACGGAATGATTTTCTATACAGGTATTACTGTGACATTATCGGTGCATAGATTTGCTCTCAGTTGCGTCGGCATCTAACCTGTGAGAGGAAAAAGCATTTTTATAGATCTCATGGATGATGCATGAATCATAGCTGTAATTTTAGAAGCAAGTACCGTTAACTGATTATGTGATTCTTTTTCATAAATTTTAATGAAATGTTAATTATTTTGATATTATAATTAGTACAAATATTTTAACAAGACGCTTTAACCAATTTTAACAAATTCTACTTTTATTCTAATTTGCTATATTTGAATATCTTATTGTGCATTTCTTTATCTACACTGTCAAATGATTCCTGAAAACACACTGTTTTCTTCACAGATATTATCAAAAATTTTATCACTTTTTGTGCTACAGTTACTAAATACAGTTACTTACTGAATTATTTTTGTATTTGTAATTATCACTTCTATTAGTCAAATCGTAGTTAAAATGTTAATGAAGATAATAAACTTCGAGAAATTTGTATTTACTCTTTTTTCATTGCAAAAATTAATAATTTTATAGATTTACAGTTATAAAATAGTAACATAATTCTAAAAATTAAATAGGCCTCATCTTTATGCTTGTTATTATATTTGATATGTAAATCTTTCTATCAATAAAAATAAATGCATTTATAATACAAATTTTGTATTATATATATAAATAATTAAATTTGACTCTTTCAATAATTGTTGTTATAATACAAATGGCAATTTTTCATTTTCTAGGTAGTTCCAATATTTATTTATTTTACCGAAATCTACCTGCATTGCAATAATGCGAAAAAATTTCTTAATTAACTCGCTGGCAACCGCTGTCGCTGCAGCCTTAGTCTTTACAAGACTAATCACACCTCGTATCCACCGAGAAGAATTACTCGAGATAGTTATCTCCATGATGAACGATTAGGCCATATAGACGAATAAGAAAGTTCGTTGGATTATAGAATAATAACGATATGATTCGTTGGAATATGCAATGTTACGTGCGTGACGGTACTTACCTTCATTCTCGTGGGTATCATAATGGATGTTTATGTCCGACATGATGTGTAATAGTCGAAGCGATCCAAAGATGCCAACTTAATTATCCGACTGGCGGAGTGCATAGAACAGCCATTTATTGCGAACGTTTTGATGTACTTATTACCAGCACTGTTATGTGTACAGATGGTAATGTGCTTTTAAATGAAAGATCAGTAAATTTAAAGATTTTTTGCAGTACTTGTAATTACAAGATGAAGTTTCAATTTAGATCGTAAAATAGTTATACGCGTTATAAAAATAAATTTTTTAATAAAATAACAAATTAATAAAGCATAATGTATTCTAATAAAAATTTCATTATATTCAATGTTTTCTAGGATACATGTTAATTGCATCGTTATTGGAAATTTATTTATGATTATGCATAGCATAGTAGTACTTTCTTCTGATTCAATTATCGTTCTACACGTTTGCTGATATAATACTTGGAGATGAGAAGCACTGCACTGTGTTATGCTTTACTGTGATTGGTACGATGCCGGCCAAGGATTTTCAGATTATTCTAATGCGAACCAGTATTCATCATCAACTGACAGCTGGAAAATTCATAGTCATGAATATGATGACGTTCAAAGATATTTTCACGGCGTCGTCTTTCTACGTATTTTGTTAGATAAATAAATAATATATGTTATTAGTTGTTAAGTTGCGAAATATTGTAAATTATATCTGCCACTTCCCGTCGCGATAATCAAGCTTTCATAAAATTTATATATTTATTTGTGATTTAGAATAATATTTTTTTTTTATTTTAAATATATGGATGCAATATTACGATGTTTTGAAATAAAAGTTTCCAATTTTCCTTCAACAATGCACGACATCTTATATCCCTTTTTTTCGTTCCTTTTCAGTTATTTCAACAGCATAGAATGATAGACTAACGTTTCATGATAAACAAAACGTACTATAATACCATAGGATACCTATATGTTTTGATTTCAGTCATATAATGACTACAGCGCGCAACGTAAGAAGACTATGATGCACTATTAATTTTCGTATTTCCTTTTATGTTCTTGCCATATGAAAAAGATACGTGGCTGTAGTGCGTTGCATATACCGCAAATGCGTATATTCGTTCAAAGGTACTCTTAGTAGAGACTACACTTGGTAAGAATTCAAAAGTTACCTAGAGAACAGTCCTCAACTACAAAGCAACGTATCGTATAGAAACATGTGATTTCGATGTGCCAATACATTTTCCGCGTGGTGCAACGTCGTTTTTCACTTGAATAAAAGATCAAAGAAGGTCGCCCCTCGCCCTCGACGGCGTAGGTAAAGATGGCTTTGCTTCCGCGCGCCTTCATAGTAAGTTTGGAGCTTGGTCAATGTACAGTAAAAAAAAATCGAATAAACGTCATCGGGAGAAACGGATATCAGTAATTTCATTCGACTTGTGTGTGACAATTGTTCGCAATTATAGCATCAATCTGTTTTTTGATTGAATTTACATTAAGTAAATATAATAATATAATATATATATAATTACACATATATAATATATAATTTTTTGTCATTGAAGTGTATTTCCATGTATTCGCAAATTTATTAATAGTGCGACGCATTCTTTTAACTTTAAAATGCTATCGCTATTGAGTGATATAACATTACTATTGAGACATTTTTATATATAAGAAAATGAGTTATTTTTAATTAATGTAATACAAATTTTTCAAACATTTCACTGTTTTAAATGACAAAATATTTATAATTTAGCCTTTATACAAATAATTTAATTATTGACTTAAAAGAAAAGAAAAAATAAAAGCATATTAGCAAATTCAATCTTGAATTGATATAAAGTATGTAATCTAATTAATGCCTGCCTCTTCATTCCTGTGTGTGTCTCTTCATAACACTTAAATAAAATATTTAATTGAATAAAATATTATAACAAAATAATATAATAACATACTTAAAAAAATACTTAAAAGTTGAAACCATGTACTTATGCACGCTCTTTGCAACGATTATTACAAGACGATCTGATATATAAACTGATATAAAAAACGGATAGAATTTTTAAAAGCTCATCTTCGCTTGTCATAGCATTTAGCTTGACAGATTAAATCTTCTAATGATCATTGAAGAGGCATAATTTAGCATTCAATGACTTCGCTCACTTGTACGTACGTAAAATCTATATATCGATTGCATTTTAGGGTTAAAACATTGCTGTGTTTTAATATTAACATGAATAATTTTATGATTGAGATTATTTAAATTAGACTATAATCTTAATACAATAAAAAACGTGATACACTTGATTAGACTTAATTAATTTCTTAATTAATTCTTAGAAAGAAGATATATATTTTTACTAAATAATGAAGGAAACAAGAAATTGGAACGACGAATCTTATTATGCTTTAAATGTTTACGAAAAAGTTCTTAGTATAATTGGAATTTGGCCTTTGAATGCGGGAGAACTTAAATCTATTGCACGATGTTCCTTAGCCATTTTGATTCAAGTAAATATCACAGAAATAATTATTAATAAATTAATGATATATACAAAGTATGTCTTTATCAAAGTATATCTTACTCTGTCGTTATTTCTTTTTTGTTTCTGGAAATGGTTTTTTTAATAAAAAATACTTAGGGCTGGTTGTTCCATTTTTGGATAAACTATGTAAGAATTTATCTAATGGATAAATAAAAGAGTAAAATAATAAGAGAACAAGAGAATAGGAGACTAAGAGAGTGAGCTGATATTTATCGAAAGGTGGAACAATCCAACTTTAGATATTAAACTTTTGAGTAAGTAACAATTAAAAATAGAGAGATTGCGAATTAACGCGGTCCCTTTCGAGATTAGATCAGTACTATCGGCAGCCTGTCTCTGGAAACATATTGGCAGTGTCTAGATACCGAGGACATGATGGAGGCCTTTTTAATGGACCTCTCGTCTGTCGTCAGCCTTTCCAAGCTTCTCGTCATTCGCTTCACCTGGAAGCATACTTACATCCTGGTGACTTCCATTATCGACGACTGGTCGATGTCTCGAAACAAGCAACAACGGGAAGTTATGATGAGGTACACCCATATCGGCAGAGTGGTGTCTTTGACGATATTATATCTGGGCTACGCATCAGGAGTCTCGTTTCTTTTCATGGCCGTACCGTTCGACAATTTGATACCTTGGCTAAACGTCTCCAAGGTGAATGATAATGACTCGATAACGACGTATTTTCTAGCAACCTATTGCGTTTTTGGGTCGCTACCAACGATCACCTATAGCTGCGTCCTGTTACTGCAAACGGCGCAGATCTTCGTCAATGCTACCTCGCATTGCGGAAATGATGGTTTCTTCTTTGGTCTCGCGATGCATCTATGCGGGCAGTTTGAAGTACTGCAAATGGATTTTGCTGGCATCGAAGTGGAAAAACAAAACTGTAAAAGAAAAATACGGACGTTAATTATCAGACATTGCCATTTAATAAGACTAGCTGACAGTTTTGAGTATGCTTTCAACATGGCTATCTTAACACAGGTTTCAATGAGCGTGCTGTTGCTTTGTGTAGAAGGTATTTTATTTTCGTGGTTTTAAAATTATTTTTTTAAATGTATGTCTTATTATGCACTATATAATACAATGATCTTTCCTTGACAAAAATATATTTTATGTATTAGAACTATGTATTAGTTATAATTTACAAGACTATTTATTAGTTTCTTATGTAACAAATGTACATAAATCATTTAAAATTTTTACTGTAAATTGATAAGATAAATGTAATTTTGTGATGTGACGTTATTATTGTATACTATTCGTTAATTTATAATATTACATATTAAACTTCACTATTTTTTTTTTTTACACAAGTTGACTTTCTAAAGTTTTAAAAATTATAAATTAAATATTAGTTAATTAAACATGTCGAGATTATAGCTACTTTAATAAAGAATTCCATAATTTAGCAAGAATAAAATGTTAAATAAAGATTAAAAAAAGATAAAAATATTACAAAATGAAAAAATAAAAGATAAGACAAGTAAAATCTCTCAAGTTATACATTTCGATATTTTCTGAAAAAGCAAATGTATCTATCATACTTGCTAAATCTATTACTAGTAAACATTTAAAATAACTATGTTATTTTCACTAGAACGCTAATATTGATTGATATTGAGTATGGCTATTGTAAATTTTACAAGAAAATAAACTCTTATTTAATGTAAAACAAATTTTTTTTATATATTTAACTTTTATACATTTTATATTTTTAGAGATAAAATATTTACAATCTACCTTTACAAATACAAATAATCTAATTAGCAATTTAAAAGGAAAGAAAAAATAAGCATGCTATTAAATTCAATCTTGAAATGATATAATGTACGTATACTCTATATTTCTTGCAGTGAAATCTCATTTCAAGAAAATGAAACTACGATCATTCTTCACTTCTTAAAAAAGAGTAACAATTTTCAAGAAGTAAAATATTTTCACTTGTTTTCAAGGGGGTTGCATTTCACTCTCTTGGAGTGAAATTTCACTGCGAAAAATTTAGAGTGTAACTTAATTAAATGTATGTCTTTTTATAACATTTAAATAAAATATATAATAATACCAAATAATAACGCAAAAATGCTTAAAAATTGAAATTACTTATCACTCTTTGCAATAGTAACCACCAGTCCAAACTGATATATAATGAATAAAATTTTGAAAATCATCTTTGTTTGTTTAGCTTTTAACATCATAGATTAGATTTAATGATCACTAGGAATATAGCTTAGCACTTAATGATTTCGTTCACCTATACGTAAAGTTTACGTATAAGTGATGTAAAGTTTATGTATCGGTATAGCGTTCTGTGAAAAGTAAATACATTCTTGAAAACCAAGAATGTACTTACATTTTAAAATATAAAAATTTTAAATTAATAAAATGTTAAATAAAAATTTAAATAAATAAAATGTTAAAAATAAAATTATTGATGTTGTTTTAAATATTGTATATTAAAAAATTGAAATATTATATTATAAGTCTTACCATAGTAATTTCTATTTTTAGGTATGCAATTAATAATATCGTTGAAATTAAACGATAATATTGCAGCAATAAAACACGTTGTCTTAATTCTGACGATGTTAGTGCAACTGTATCTTTATTGCTATGCTGGAGATCAGCTGGAGAATGTAACCGGAAGGATCGCGTACAGCGCTTACGATAGTCCATGGTACGATTTTGATGTAAAAATAATGAAAGATCTACCTATGGTGATGCTTCGAGGAAAGTTACCTCACCAAACAACAGCCGGAAAATTTTTGCCGATGAACTTATTTTCATTCAAAGAAATTTTGAAAGCTACAGGCTCCTACCTTTCCGTTCTCAGAGTGATGATAGATGTGTAAAATTGGTATTGTCGATATATAATTATAAATTATGACTGATATCTTTAATATTTTCTTTTTTTCATTTTCTTGTATATGTGAATATTCTTATATTTGCGTGCGATATCGATTATCATATTTTGCCAAACGTTAGATGAGAATATATCATGACCGAAACTCGAACGATTATATTATACATTGTAATAAATCGCGCGAAACGCACAATCTTATAACTCAATAATCATCAACATTATATATAAATATATATATATATATATATATACATATAAGTTAAGAAATGTTTATTGTTGACTTGTGTTTCTTATTCAGACTAATGTGTAGAATAATTTTCTTCTCCGAAGAAATATAATGTCCTTCAAACGTATTATTAATTATTAGTAGTATATATACGGCGAAAAAGGTTTCTACCTTCGATATTTATTTAATATGAAAGTATGAGTATATCATAAGAAAATGATAAAATAATATTGTCACAATTCTTACAATACCCTATTTTTCTGTATAAAATTTTCCTTTCTTTCTTTCTTTCTTATTTGATTGAATCCATCCATTTCAAATCAACGTACAAATTTTTCCATCATATCTGTGAGAGCAACAGTTCATGAGATATTTTAGAGAGGACTATTTATATATCTTTTATTTATCATAATATAAAATATTTAAGCGTTTAACATTCCAGATATTAGTAGGACTTATCTCTAGGAATTGTGCCGGGCATTATTTTACATTATTTGTACAAATATGAATAAGAACGAAGACTATACTTGCATTGTCCAAGAAAGTTATGAAAATTAAAGGTATAAATAATAAATAAAAAAAAATCCAGTTAGACGATTGAATAAAGGGGTTGCTTTAAGTGTTGTAGGTATTTGTGTCTCTAACAAATCGAATATTGAACGATGCAGTTATTGCGAAGGAACATAGACGAAGAAATACAACCGCTTTCGAGGAAAAGAAACAATTTGAAGAGACCTGGAAACTTGGAAAATTTAATGTACAGTAATAAAAAACTTACCCAAGCGTGAGATTTTACAGTGCTTGAGAATGAGATCAAACATGGATTGGAATACTGATACTACAAATATTTTAAAATTTCATAAACATTTTCTTGGCATAATTGGACTTTGGGTATTAAACGAGAAAAATGTATTCTCGAGAATTCGATGGTTCGTATCGACGGTGGTGGAAGTAAGTTATGCTTTATCAAATATTTAATATAATTTGCAATCTTACACATTCGGGTATGTGTATACTTGCAGTTATTAATTTTATTTCGTTAAAAATAATAGAAGCCTGTTAAATTTTGTTCTATTTATATTTGTATATTGTAAATGTTTTTTTTTTCTTTGTTTTAAATATATTTTGTTATATTTATTATAGTCTTTGTTACACTTACATATTTTATATACATACAGAATATTCTGAGAGGAAATTAACTGACAAATGTGTTAAAAAAATGTGTTTTAGGAGGTCATTCTAAGCAAAAAAATTTATATACATCATAAATTTATTCGGCTCAATTAAAGCGATGCGAAAATTTTTTCTCTTGTTAGTAATGTAAATTTTTAATAACGGACTTTTCTCAAAATATATTCTTAAAATATAAGTTCTCGCTATATAGATACGCAGCGTAACTCAAATATTTATTTGTCATTAAAGATTGGCATTGAGATAATGAGAGTATTACACATAGCCATTCATTATTATTATATATGAACGTATAATATGAGATTTATAGCTTAAAATAATCTCTAGATCACATTTTAAAAATTCCTACTAACTTTGTCTATTTCCTCATAGAATATCCTGCATATTAAATCATATACATATGTATTTCAAATATTTATATTAAAACGTAATATTTTTATATTGTTTTCATGAACCAGACGAGTACATGGATCATTATGTCATTAGAAGTGATTCAGAGTTGTAATGGTAACGAGGATGCCATGGATGCTTTTCTATCAAGTTCATCGTCAATAACCAGTTTGGTAAAATTGCTTTTACATCGCGTATATTGGAAACAAAAATTCGTTTTGGTGGAATCGGTCATTCAAGATTGGACTTACGTGAAAAATTCTCATTTCCGTGATATTATGTTAAGATACGCGCGAATAGGTAGGCTGGGCTCATCGATATACTTCTACATAGCTTGTGCCGCGGTAGTCTTCGCCTTCAGTGTCATGCTCAGTAACATCAATTTGCCCTGGGTCTCTGAAAAGCAGATTTTTAATGAAACATATGAAAGAAAACTGATGTTAGCGGCCTATTGTACCTTTGGAAATTATTATACATCTTCTTTCGCATTCTGCGCTATTGAAGCTTTGCAGTTTGTACAGATTCTTGTTAATTGCATCTCGCAGTGCGGAAACGATGGATTCTTCTTCGATCTCACAATGCACATGTGTGGACAATTCGTAATTCTTCGTATGAACTTCAACGCATTGGGTTGCGATAAATTTTCCTATCATAACAAACTTGATGTCTTATTGAAGAGACATTATCGCCTCGTACGTTTATCATATTATATGGAGAGAGCATTCACTCTGGTCATTCTGGCACAAGTTTTAATGAGTGTCCTTGTTTTATGCGTAGAAGGTTGTTATTATTTTAAATTTAAACAATATAATCAAATTTATCTTTATGCTCTAGAATTTATATTTATTCGTTTCATGTTACTATATAACATAGAATAAACAACAAATATGTATTTTGGAACTTTTACAACAATAAATTTGTAATTATTTTACAAAAATTTTTTACTATTTTAAAGTTATTATTAATTATATTCATTATTATATTTCTTTTAGGTTTTCTTTTACTTCTTTCACTTGAAATAAACGATGCTTTTACTGCTATGAAACATGGCGTCTATATTATCGCACTGTTGATACAACTTTTTCTCTATTGTTTTGCTGGCCAGACATTGGAATTCCAGTCAAAAGAATTAGCCTATGCAATTTATGAATCACCGTGGTATTCGTTTGATGTGAACATGATGAAAAATGTACCATTGATAATTCTCCGAGCAACCAATCCTCAGCAATTAACTGCAGGAAAATTCGTACCAATAAATTTTATGACTTTTAAGGAAATTCTGAAGCTTTCCGCTTCGTATTTATCTGTATTAAGGGTAATGACTAGAACATAAATAGAAATTCTTCAGGAGAAAAATAGATAATCTAATTTTTTCTTTTATAAATTGGATAATTATATAGAATAGAGAATCCCCCTCCGACGATTTTGACCTTGACATATGTCAAGGTCATGACCTTTTATTGAGTGACCTCCGACAGATTTTGATCGTTATTTGTTAAAAAGTTATTAACAAAAAAAGTTTAATTTCTGCTACACACACACACACACACACACACACACACACACACACATATGTATTATATATATAAACAATATTAACTAATATTCTCCCCTTGCGTAGGAGCGTACGACTTCCTATGCAAAGCGAGATCTACATTACACCCCTTTATTTAGAAGGTCATGAGCTTCTAAGCAGGAGAGAAGGTTGAGTTGATCTCACTTTACGTAAAAAATGTGTGTTTTTGGAATGGATGTGGATGTGGAATGGATCTCATTTCGCTTGAAGTCGTTACAAAATCACAAATTTTTCGCTTCAAAAACAAATTCTCTGCTTTAAAAACAAATATTATTAAAAAAAAATATTTTTAAAGCAAATTTTTATTTTTAATAGATATAGAATTTTTGGTTTAAATAATGGAAAAGATACGTTATTTCTTAAACTTATTTTGTTAATAATTTTTTAATAGATAACGAGTAACGGTTAAAATCTGTCGAAAATTATTCAGAGTCATGACTTTCACAAGATATGTCAAGGTCAAAGGTCATAGGAAGGGGAATGCCCTATTCTACATAATTACTACAAATTGCTTGAATTGTATAATGTTCCTTACACAATTGTAATCAATTGATAAATATTTTTCTGTAAATGATAGCGAATAAAAATATATAATTTGACGGAACAGAACAAATTATATTAATATTATGTTTATTGCGTGATATGTACTGATGAGCCAAAATATTGTGACTATAAATATCTATTATAATTAATCTTCCATATTGCTAGCTACCAAATCCTTTATTCTATTATTCTATTATGAATTCTACAGGAATAGCTCTGAATGTATCTGTTGGAATCTGCTGCCAAGATATTAACAGCATTTCCTTTAACTAATTACTGATGATGAGATACTCTCTCTCCTTTATGGTAACAGTCTTTTATAGCAGTTGAATCCGTCAGCATGATAATGCCTTGCACTGTGCGGTTTTTTAATAATAATTTGAGGAACATATAGTTTAAGGCACATTTAGTAGTTTTGTTCTGGTCACCAAATTCACTCTATCTCGAACCCATTGAACATTTATAAAATATATTAAACAGACAAATTCGTCCTGCATATCTCCTACTTCATAACTTACAGTTAAAACAGCTGCTGTTAACATCTTGGCAACAGATGTCAATAAATATATTTAAAGGTTTTGTAGCAAGCTTATAATAATATTACGTAAGTGATTATAATGTTTTGGCTCAATGTAAAAGAAAATTATTACGAAGATATATAAAATAATGTTGAAGCCTAATAATGTAAATAAAAATTTAGAAAGATTTATAATGTATCCATATTATTCTATATGTATAGTTCCATATTATTCTATATAGATTTTATTGAGTTGTTTTGTCGTGACAAAAAGAATAGGTACAAAATTATTAGAGAAATAAAATTAATAATTTCACCTGATGTATTTCACTAAAGTATAGTTTGTGTGATAGAAATGACTATGGAAATACGAATATAAAGACATATATATGATCGCTTTTTGCATTTTGCTGATAAGACAGTTTTTGCGGAAATTTATTCGTGAGTTCGGTGAACTAATAAGAATATGCCAATATGGCACTATTAATAATTTACAATAATATCCGATAAGAATCGAATGAGCGTACATCTATAGTATTTTAACAA